TCTCTTTGTCAGGCCTACAGACAGCAGGCCCCTTGAAAATGGGAGAGTCAGCTCATTGCCCCCACCCTGCCCCTCTGGCTGGTTTATGTTTGCCTCCCGCAGTGGACACTCTAGCTCTCAAAGGATGATAAATGAACCGGCTAGAGCCTTGCACATTCTCCGGTAGGTTTACACTGGCCAGGGCACCATACAGGATAAGAATTGAGGGTTGAGACAAATTGTGCCTGGGACGCTCTGCTAGAGGATACATTCCATAGAACATTCGATCAGTAGCAGGCCTGACAGTCACTTTTACTGTTTTGGTTTTTAAAAAAATATTATTTCACTCTTCTAATCTAACACATGCATGTGGAAAATGGAAACAACATAAAAGGTATACAGTCTCTCTCCCACCATTACCCAATGCCTGGAAGAAACATGCCCCGCCTCCTATTTCTTTCCATTCATTTCCCCAGCCTAGATAATCTTATTTGTCTGCATAAGCAAATGACTCAGACCTGTCAATCTTTTCTTTGTTCCTTTAATCTATTGTGTCTTGGGGAATATTTCTATATCATTGCTTAGAGAGCTACTGCACGCCTTTAAAACAATGGTTCTCTAAGGGCATTTCCCATGCCAACTACACCACATTTAACAGGGAACTTGTTAGAAATGCACATTCTTAGCCCATCCAGACCAATTATATCAGATATTCTCATCTGGGGCCTTGCTGGTGAGTCTTTCACCAAGCCCTCTCTCCTCAGAAAAAATATTTTGATTTGTTTTTCAAATAATGAATCAGATATTCACACCATATAAAGATTATTTTGCTTACATAAACCAATGAAAGGAAAAAGTCAAACTAAAGGTGCATTCTTAACTCCAAGAGAAACTTCACAGTTTTCATGTGGGGTTGTTTATTATTACAAGAGCCATGAGGTCATAGTTAGTGGTTAAATGTCTGAGTTTGATAAGCAGTTCAATTGCTTATGCAAACACAGTTTGCAAGAGAACAAAGAACATCCTCTAAACTAACATTTATGTGCAGCTTCCAATAACAAACACAAGGTTTCAAAGTTACAGTTCAATGGTCCTGATAGAGAACTGTGCAAACAAATTGTTAATATTAGGAAAGCTTTTTGGTCCTTGCAGTACCCTGACTTTGGCAGAAACTCAGTTTTACCTGCACAAGGTACAGAATAAGTATAGACATAGTTTAATGTTCAGTAACTAGTTGATAAATATTCTCTAAAATTTCCTTCTTAACACCATGTCTTTAGGCAACAGACATGACTTCTAGAAGTTCACTTAGAGAAATCACTTATATCAGCAACATTTTCACTGAAAAGTTTTATAAAATACCATTGAAACATATGGTACATAGTTTAAAACTATAATTTTAATCAAGGTTGAATCAAAGTATTTGGGCTTTCAATATTCTCCTTTACTCAGGCCTCTAAATAATGGGCCTGAAAACTGCTTCGAGTTCTTTCTCTAACCGTTTGTTGCTTCAGCAGCATCTTCCTACACATGTCTGATCATTGTGGACAGCAGATTCTTTGAAGTAGAACTGATATGTCCAAAGGTTATGTGCATTTTATATTTGATAGACTATTACCAAATTATATTTTAAAGAGGTTGCTGTAATTTATACAATATATTAAGGTATGCATTTCCACATCCTTGCTAACTTTGTATTTTTTAACCTTTTTTTAACTTTTAAATATTTTGTCAATAAGCAAGGCAATGAAGAGTGGTTTCTCCTTGTCCTAATTCCATTTCTTTAATTATGAGCCTTTTGGATTTCTTTGTTGCAATGGTCCTTTCCCAATTTTCTTTTTTTAAGATTTATTTATTTATGCATACAAGAGCTGGGGTACAAACCAGAGGTGCCGGGGGTGAGAGGATTCACCAGAGACAGTGGGGAACAGAACAGGCAGACTGACTGAAATACACTGCTGAGGGGAGCAGCGGGCGAGACAGGAGAGGTCTGCTGCACCATGTGGGTCAAAGTCCCTGGCCAGCTGGGGACTGGGGATCGAACTCATGCTGCAGAGGCTGTGAATAGCTTCACAGTGCTGTGCTTAACCCCTTGTGCCACCAAGGAGGCCCTCCTTTCCCAATTTTCTAATCGATCACAAATTTTCTTTTCTGTTCTTTCTTCATATGTAAAGTAAATGAATCCTTTTATACAGAAAATTTTGTATAGTTGAATTGATCAATCTTTGTACTTATGGTTTCATATGCACACAGCTATGTGGTCTTTGATCTTTTAGATTCTGAAGAGAGAATAATGATCCAGAGCCCTATCCATCCTGTCTCCAAGGAGCAAAGGCTTTTCCTCACTCCTTTCAAGAAGGGAAGGGACAGCTTCCTATATTCTCTTTATAAAGGGGAAAAATCCATTGTTCACTGTCTCTTGCATATGGAGCTCCCCCATGACCATGGGAGATTTTTTCACGTGCCCAAGTAAGGCATGGGGCAAAGGGAGATAACACAGTAATTATTATTATGTGGATTATAATACCTAATCTGTCTCTAAGCCAGACTATCTCCTGTGCATATTCAGAATTAAATTAATAAAAATGCATGTATTAAAAAATCCAACAGACTGAAGCAGTGAAAATATGGTGCTCCTTGGATCCCTGTCACACACTGATGAGGTCAGAGCAGGCCTACTGTCTTTTATGTGGCTTACATTGGGATCTAATTCTCTTAGACTTGGAGGCACAGCCTGGTCATAGGATAGAAGAGAATTAGCAGCAGCTTATGAGCAGTTATTGCCTCATGGGAGACACTGTGTGATGGTCCTCAAACTAGCCTGCATCAGAATCTCCTTGCTGACTTGCTGAAATGGGGTTACTCAGTCCTACCACCAGACTGTCTGATTCAACAGGTCTCTGGTGGAGCCCGAGAGTTTGCATTTCTAACAAGTTCCCAGATGACACTGTAGCCGCTGGCATGGGAGCCACACTCTGAAAGTTAGTTTGCGACACCTGGTGGGTTTGAATATTATTTGTTGTTGTAGTTTAGCAACCCTGACAAGGAGGTGTTGGCTTCCAGCCACACCTGGAGATCAGGATTCCTTCAAAGCTGCCATAGAAGCTGCTGACTTCCCAGTTCTGTTCTCCATTGAATGTTCATGGCCTTCAATATCTCCTTTTTCCCTTGGAACACTCTCTATTTCCATTAGAAACAGTCAGCGGACAGTACAATCTCTGTAATTACTATTCTGTTGGCCTTAAGTATAAAAAGCCATCCCCAAACAGAATGGCTTAAGCAATAATTCATTTTATTCATTTTATTTCTTTGGATCAGCTGGTCATTTTTTTTTTTTTTCCAGGCCTGAGCAGCTTGGCTGGGGCCGGATGATCCAGAATAGCATGTCTGGGCCTCCATTTGGATGATGGAGGTGCCTGGGATGACTAGGGCTTTACAGAGCCTCATCCTCTAGGAGAGCAGCCCAAGGTATCCTCACATGTTGGCCGAAGGGCTACCAGAGAGCAATTAGAGAAGGAAAAATCACAATTGCATAAGGTCTTCTGCAGCTTCTGCTTGTCACACTTAATACCCCAACAGCCAAAGAAAAAGATTGCTTAGGACAGAATAAAAGTGGAGAAATAACCCTGTCTCTTGATGGGAGGCAAATTATTGTACTCACTTTTTTTTGTCATCAATTATAATCACTGTCTTCACTGTTAACAAAGAAGGGACACATCATTTGACTTCCCAGTGTCTTTCACTTCACCTGTCCATCATCCCATGCAACTGGTGAATGATTCAGGAGATTGTGATGCCGTGAATTACCTGTGTCTTATTTGTTCCATTTCCCTCATTAAAGGCATCTATTCATGAAATTTAGTGCATGTGCAAAACATTCCCACCACGACATTTTAAGGCCTGTTTCCTAGGCCCACTTTCTTAACTAATTACTGAATCAGAGTTCTGGTTGCAAAAAAGGTGGCATGTTCAAACTGTGTAGTTTGAGGAGTGTTTACTAAAAGGATTATTTACCAAGATGTGACTAGAATTAAAGCAAGTCCATCATATTTAGTATGGAATCCTGGGGCTAGGCCTTGCAGGGAGATGATATAGTTTATAAGCTCTTTTTTTTTTTTTTTTTTTAATAGAGGCATGCTTTATTTATTTGTTTGCTGGTTTGTTTGTTTTTTTGTTTATACATGCACTGGGTACAGTCAGAAGCGCGGGAGGGGAGATGATATAGTTTAAACCTAAAGAGACAGGGCCTTCCCGGTGGCGCAGCGGTTGAGCGCTGGGTTGCGAAGCTGCCCGTGGCCTCTGCGGTGCCGGTTTGAATCCCGGCTGCTTCCCGGTCACCAGAGGAGGGTCCCACATGGCGCGCAGACCTCTCCTGCCGCCTGCTGCTCCCCTCAGCAGTGTACTTCGGTCCTTCTGCCTGCTCTGCTCCCCGCTCTGGCTCTGGTGAATTCTCTCACCCTCCCACGCTTCTGACTGTACCCAGTGCATGTATAAACAAAACAAAACAAACAAGTAAATAAATAAATAAAACATGCCTCTATTAAAAAAATAATAAATAAAAATAAAATAAACCTAAAGAGACAGGGAGAGGCTGAAATTTCTAGAACCCTGAGAGGGTAGTTGTGTGGGAACAGTTACCTGATAGTAGCTTAAGCCTTTTATAGACAATATGGTTTACTCCTAATGACTCACCAGGGAAGAAGCCAGGGGGATTAAAGCCTTGACTTCTCTCTTCTCCTGACATCTGATATCCTGCTGGTGTCTCCTCTTGGCCAGTCCCAAGTATTCTCAAAAGAGAAAGGGCTCATTGGTGCATTTCCTACAGGTTAGCGTAAGAGGCTTGGAGCAATGTCTTTGTGCAGGGGCGGGGGGGTGGGCCAGGGTATGTGGGGGGTGGTGGTCACATAAGTGACCTTGTTCAGAGAAGGACTGACCAACTTGTCCATACCTGAGTCAGGTGAAGGAAGAGTAACATTCCTTGCGGTAACAATGTGTAACTGTCACCCTTTCTGTTTCTATAGGCCTAATGCACATGTGTGAGCTCAGAAGGGACGTGTATCAACTGTGAGGTGATGATCCCTCCTACTCTATAGACAAGACAACTGGGTGAGTAAGTTGCTGGGCAACCATGAGCTTTTTAAAGTCATATTTGGTAAGTGGGATTAGACTGCACTTATAATTTTTGATTCTATTACAAATACTTCTGTCCAACTGAGCCTACAATGTAAACAGATTCTTCAAATTATACTTAATGTTTATACCAGTTTCCTAGGGATTACATGACAAAGTCCCACAAACTGGATGGCTTAGAGTCACAGAAATCTGTGTCTCAAAGTTCTTGAGAAGTCTGAGGCCCCAGTGTTGACTTCGTGAAAGAGAGTCTGCCACACACCTCCCTGGTAATAACTGGTGGTTTGTTAAGAATCTCTGGCATTTCTTGGTGTGTGGCTACAATGCCCTGATCTCTGCCTTCTTCACTTGGTCTTCTCTTGTGTGCATGTCTGTCTCTGTGTCCAAATTTCCCCTTTATTTAAGGACAAAAATCCCACTGGATTAGGGCCCACACTATGACCTCATATTATGTTGCTTGTCTGCAAACAACCCATTTCCCATTAAGATTGCATTCACAGGAAAGGGGCTAGGTCTTCAGCAACTTTTTGGAGGATGTAATTCAACTCATAACAGTGCCCTTTTATCAGCTGGACAAACTATATTCATTGAGGTTTCTATACCTTTATTGTGCTACGAGGAGTTTCTGTTTGACAATTTATGCGTTTGCTGTATTATATTCTCTGAAAACTGTTGCTAAGAATGTGGTAAAAAAAATACTAATCAGAGTATATTAACTAGAATAAAATTTTTCTTAATTGTAAAATGGGAACCTGGGCCTCCCCTGGTGGTGCAGTAGTTGAGCCCTGGGCTGCAAAGCTGCCCGCAGCCTCTGCAGCGCCAGTTCGATCCCCGGCCACCGGCGAGGGTCCCACATGGTGCAGCAGACCTCCCCTCAGCAGTGTATTTCGTCAGTCTGCCTGTTCTCTTCCCCACTCTGGCTCTGGTGAATTCTCTCACCCTCCCGTGCTTCTGACTGTACCCAGTGCTTGTATACATAAATAAATAAATCTTTAAAAAAATAAAAATAAAATAAAATGGGAACCTACTTGAAACCAAGTAAGTGGGAAATACCAAAACAACAAATAAAAAGATAACAGGAGCTGGATCTTGGTGGCTGTTGTGGACTCTAGGGTAGGTGATGCAATATGTGGTGAGAATTCTGGACACTATTGTCTCCTTACCTGATTTGAACAGCAGGTGTCGCTGTTGCCTGCTCTGTGATTGTTCATTCTCAGAGCCTGATGCAGAAGAAATAGTAATACAGTATACAAACCACCCCAGTCTTTGAACTGCTAGCCATTTTCTGGTTCACTCGACTCGCCAATCCATTTGGATACTTGTCATTGGCAGAATGTCAAACCTTTTGGACTTTGCTCTAGGACCCTTCGCCTTCCCCTTAACAGGTACTGGCTCAAGGAATAACAGGCTGAAGACTGTGACTGGGAAGCGAGGGACAGGCCTGTACAGTTCAAGCCTATGTGTTCTGTGTCTCTGTCACTGCTTCTGCCCTTCCAGGCAGCAGTTGGCAGCAGTTTCAAGGAGCTTGGGGATTACCATCTGCGAAGTGCTCCCATGCAGCATGGAGGGGCCCATCCTGCTTAGTACTTCCTGTCTTCTCATTTAGTTGGATCTAAGGCTTTGTTCTAAGTTCCCTGCTGGGTGCTCCATTTCAAGGTTGAAGTAGTATTTTGAAAGAAGGACCTAGTGCTCCACTGTAAGGGTGAGAAGGAGGGTAGGGCAGGGTCCTCCCATTCCAGTTCTCTGATCCCCAGGTCATTCAGGGGCGCTCTCCTTGCCTAGCTTATAGGATAATGGATGGCAGGGAGCTGCATTCCTAGAGGTTGTGGCTTGATCATAAACCTCTTCATTTCTTTTCTTCCTCTTCAAACACAAACAAAAAAATCCTGGGCTCCACAGGAAACCCGGGGAAGGAATCCTGTTCTGGGAAGGATAGGTGGTGTGGGGAAGAAGAGGAAACCACTTCTGCCTGGGGGAGCTGCTGGAGCCCGGAGCCCACATGGGTGAGGCAGCTGCTCCTAGGTTGCGGGTATGGGAGGGAGGCAGGGAAGAGAAGCAAAGGAAAGCAGAGGCCAGGGACAGTGGTGTGGCCACCTGCTTTAGGTGTAGCCTGAGGTTCATGCAGGAACAGCATTTCTGTGGTAGCCTGTGAGAGGGGAGGGGTCCCTTTTCATGGATTCTTGACTTCCAGGATGGCTTAGAGTGACTGTCAACCATTTATGGGGGTTGGAAGGGGCATTCTGGGACTGTCCTGATTTCAATTATTCAGACACAAGTATTGGTATAATGTGCTCAATATTTTATTTCCTTACTTGAATTTTCCCCCTTTGGGAGAGGCTGTATAGTAAATGTATAACAAACCATGCTTTAATTTTTATACCATCTATAGAGTGTTTCAATAGTCTTATAGCAAATCTGTTATTGAAATATTAGTCCTGATTGTTAATTCAGCGTTAGACCTGAGGTCATTTTAGGAGTCTCTCATATCAATTCCTTGGAACCAGTGTCATGATCTCACTTTTGCGTCTACAGGGCTGAAAGACAAGTATTAGGCCCTTTTAAATAAATGGCTGGTCTTGTTTTCATTAAAGAATGTCCACCCCATCTAGTTGGAGAGACAACCAAAGTAATCATTAGGATGCCTCTTAGCATTCATAACACCAACCTTTAATGTAACACCAGCCTTTATCATAACTTCATCTTTAGGGAGAGGAGTCCCACTTTCAGGGGCATCTTTCTGAGAACAAAATCAGGGGTGTGAGAATGAATTGCTCCTTGGGCAGCCTGCATGAAGGCCCAGAAAGGAGAATTGCAAGTCCAAGTGGGTTTGTGTCTAGCAAGGGTGGAACTGACTACCAGGTTTGCAAGAGGGGGAGTGAGAGCAACAGCTATGTGTGTAGCAGGAAACTCCCTGCCAGAGTGGACAGGAAGGGACACGAGGGTTACTCCAGGTGGGGGACCAGCAAAAAAGTTGTAGAAGTTAGATGAGGACTTGCCAGGACCTGAACATAAGTGTGTTGGGATGGTGGACTGAAGTGGACTGATGGCAGAGCTACCAAGGGTAGAGGAACATGGGGCACTGAGCCCCCCATGTCTGGTGAACTGTTTGTGGAAATATGGCTTTGTAGGTGCTTTTCTGAAAACAGTTGACACCACAAAGGGGATAATCAGGATGTAGGCTGAATGTGAGAGGGCTGGAACAGGAACTATTTGGGACTATACCCTGAGGAGGCTGTTTAGAGGAGGTGTAGACCATGGGTAATGAGGTAGGGCCAGATGTCTCAGGGTCCAGTCTGCAATCTGGAGAGTATGTCTTCCCTGGCCCAGTCCTCTTGTGGAAGGCCGGGCATGCTTACCTGGGCCTGGTATATCCTTCCAGCTCCAAAACTCATCCACAAGGCTGCTGCACAATGAGTGAGAGTGTTCTATGTATATGAATGGCTCTCACTAAGCTACCACTGACTTCTGTGCATCTGAACCACGCCTGCATGCTGGAATTGACTGGAGCTTCATAAAGTAATGATGATGGGGACCCATTCCCAGGGATTCTGATCTGAGTCATTTGGGATGCTGACTGCATTGCGATCTCCAGGCTCCCCAGGAGATTCTAATGTTCAGCCAAGTTTAAGAACCATTGAGTGTGGCAGACTTACATATGCCAGGCACTAGATGAAAAGTTCTGTATATGTATGACCTCTCTCGGGCCTTTTACCAGTGGTCCTCAAAGCAGGGTCATGGAACCAAAAGGATCAGCATTCCCTGCAACCTTGTTAGACATATAGTTCTCTGGATTTATTGAATCGTATCTGGGGTTTGGACCTAACAATCTATTTTAATGAGGGGTAGGGGATAACTTCTCTACTTGAGAACCACTGACTTAACTCAAAGTGATAAATCAGGTAATTTTTAAAATTATTAAAATTCTATTAAGAAATGTAAGAAATCTGTTAGGGACAGAAAGACTTCCATTGCCTCTCAAATACGCAGCTTTCTGCTTCTCCTACTCTTAATTGGAGGACAAGTGAGCACATTCTGTCTGTGCCCCTCATCCTTACTTAGAGTACAAATCTGTTAAACGTGACAAGACAGAATATTGGTGATTACTTCCTTCTAAGATAACCTTTTCCCCATGTGTTGGAATGGGCAGGATTAATTTTGTCTCTTCCCCTCAGTATGAGGTAGAGCCTGAGATTGTTTTTCTTTACGAAAGGAAAAAGAACAATACAAAAGAATAAGCTCTCCCAATTCCTGAATCCTCAGGGCCTTCTGACACATTTTCCCCTTGTTACCCAGAGCTCTGCCATATGGTAGCTTCTGGTAAAACCCAGCTCTTCTTGCCCTTGATCTCAGAAGTAGGAGGGATGTCAGGGAGGAGGGGCATAGTGTGTTGGATCAGCTGGGTAATGGGCTTGACGATATTCCAGTTAGCCAATTAACTGCCTTTAATTTCTTCCCAGAAGAAACTAGCGATGGGGGAATAAGAGGAACCAAAGCAGACTGGCTGATGTGGATGTTGGAGGGGGTCCCTCCTCTCAGGAACTGCCTTTTGTCTCCTCTGTCTCCTGAATAGCAGGCCTCACTAAGCACTTCCTGGAGCCTGACTTACACCATTCCTAGTATTCTGCAAATAAGTACATTAGCAAAAACCTAAGGTTTTTTTTTTTTTTTGTGTGTGTGTGTGTGTGTGTGTGTGTGTGTGTGTGTTTGAGGTAACTTTGGTTTACAACGCTGGTGTCAGATCAGAGGTAAAGGATCGGGCCTCTCTGATGGCGCAGCAGTTGAGCGTTGGGTTGCCAGGCTGCCCGCAGCCTCTGCAGCACCGGTTCAATCCCGGGTCACCAGCTAGGGTCCCACATGGTGCACAGACCTCTCCTGCCGCCCGCTGCTCCCCTCAGCAGTACACTTCGTCAGTCTGCCTGTTCTACTCTCTGCTCTGGCTCTGGTGAATTCTCTCACCCTCCTGTGCTTCTGATTATACCCCAGTTCTTGTATAAATAAATAAATAAATCTTTAAAAAAAAAAAGGTGTAAAGGATCACACCTCTTCAGATGTGTATTACCACACCACACCTACCACCAAGGCACCCATAGTCTTCCACTATTTTTATATTTTGAGAGACCTCCATAGGGGCTGAATTAGTCTGCATTTCCACCAACAGTGTACAAGAGTCCCTTCTCCACGTCCTTGCAAACACTTGTTTCTGATCTTTATGATGTGGCCATTCTCAGTGGAGTGAGGTGGTATCTCATTGTGGTTTGGATTACCCTGATAAGTGATGACGAGCATTTTTTCTGTGTCTGTTGGCCATCCATGTGTCTTCTTTGGAGGAGTGTCTATTTAGCTCTTCAGTCCATTTTTTAAATTATTTGTTTTCTTTTTGTTGAGTTGTATGAAGTCTTTGTAGCTCTTGCATATCAGCCCCTTATCAGATGTATGGTGTGCAAATTTTTATCCCATTCAGTAGGGTGTCTTTTTGTCTTAGTAATAGTTTCTTTCCCTATGCAGACGCTCTTTGGTCTCATGGAGTCCCATTTGTTTCTTTGTGGAACTTCTCAAGGCCTCACAACACAAGTGGGCATCGTGAAGCTCTGCAGAAATAGCCACAAAAGCCAGAGTTTTCCTGACTCTTCTAAACACAGAGCCTCACTTACAAAGGATATATACATGACTCTAGGGAGACCGATCTAGTTGTAGCAGGCCAGGAACTAGTAATAACGAGTAGAGGTGATGAAAAGGGGATTCTGAAATTAGAAACTATAGTTCCCATGGCCTCCTAACTGACTAAATGGGAAATCTTCCCTCTTTTCCTATTAGCCTGAATTTTTTGGTATTTGGCCCACATACCTATATTCTAGTTTTCTGCTAGGCTTTCAAAGAACAAGCGCCTATCAAGGACAGCACCAGGAATCTCCTTAGCTACTTCTCATGTACAATTAATAGCCCATCCATAAGCTATCATATCATTTTATATTCCTAAAGTGACAGTGACTGAGCCAGCCTGAGGCAGATTGCCAGGTCCACGATACCTAGAAGGAGGGAGCATGGGCAGGAAACATCTCTCCCTCTGCCCTTTCCCATTCTGATGAAACAATGACTCTGTTCAAGAAGTACCATGGAAAGAAAATGTTCAGCCCAGCTCTAGGAAACACCTAGAACCAAAGTTGACCTGACAATATGCTGCTCGTGCAGATCTGGCAGTAATGACAAACTATACCCTTGTTCTACTTTAGAAAGTGCTACTGATGAATATGCTCCCGGTGACATGAGAACAATGGAGATCTGACACTTCCCCAGTTGAAAACCTTCAGGAACGAGGTGGTAACTTCTCAAGGCCTGAGGGTTACCACCAGGAGTATGTGTGTTGGGGGAGGGTATTGTGGATGCTGTGAGACCACCCTGGCTGAGTACTAGCTATCTGAGCTTCCAGTTAGTTGCCCTAGGTCTCTGGAGAATTGCCCCTGGCTAAAGAGGATCCAACTCACTTCTTCTGGTCCCGGAATAGCACCACCCCCACCACATGCCCCGGGTCAGACATGGCCAGTGACTAAATGGTCTGAAAACACAGATTGCCAGCCTGCTTGCCCCAACATGGGACTATTTCTGTGGCACAACCTGCTGTTCTATGCTCCCCATGAGCTCTGCCTGATGCAGATTCCAGCTAAATCTACCTCTTTGCTTATTTAGAACTCTCTCACCCTTGCCTATCTTCTTTTATACCCAGTGTAGCCAGATCTAGAAAATAAAAATAACAGTACCCAGTTTTAGCTAAATTTCTGATAACCGAAGGACAACTTTTTAGTGCCATGTCCCATGAAATATTTGGGCCCTACTGTGCTGAAGTTACTTGGTTAGGTGAAATTCAAATTGTATTTGGCATCCTGTATTTGACCTGGCAACCCTAATTGTACTCCTTTTCCTGAGAACATCCCTCAATAAATCTTTTGAACAAGAATCCCCATCTCAAGTTTGGCTTTTGGGAACCTCCTAAGAAAGTGGGAGATGGGAGGGTGGGAAAGGAATAAGCAGTTGGAGCCACTCAGGACCTGTCAAAGCTACCTGGTGAGTGGCCTAGGAGCAGCTTCCCCACAAACACATCTCTGGAATCTGAGGGACAGAACCAGACGTAACTTTGCTTGCCCCAGTAAGGAGCAATCAGTTCCCAGAGAAAACATAATGGCCGCCCTGTCTCCCCAGAACAGGATTTATCTCTCCTGGGTTTTACCTAATTAGGCAGAAGACCTTGATGAGAACAGATGCCAACAGATTCTATTTTGCTTAAATCGTGCTTCCTTCTCTGTCCTTATGGATTACAGGAACTGTACTGCTAATGTTACCTCATTGGGTCTGACAGCAATGATTTAGCTTCATTTCCTCATCTTTCAACACAATAATCCTCTCTTATTATACAGCCTTGATCATCTGAGGATCATGAAGCTCGAAGTGCACAGGAAGAGCTTCACTGGACCTGATGTGGCTTGTGTCCAACCTTTTAAAACCAACTCATCTGGTGTTCTCTGTATCTTACAAAATAATTGCAATGCAGTATTTTCTAGTGTTGGACGATACTTTCAAACTCTAATGTGCAAAAAAACCTGGGGATCTTGCTAAAAATGCAGGTATAATTCAAATGACTGGACTCTGGGCCAGGAGACACACAGAAGCCCATGGTAGCACTCTGCTCCTTCAGGTTCAAGTTTAGCTGCTGCTTCTCATTGTAGGAGCCTGGATATCTCTTGCACTTGTTTGCATAATTGTCAGATGGGGTCATAAAAGTAACCTGCTTACAGAACTATGGGGAAGTTCCAGGCATGTTAAGTACTTGCACTGGATCTGCCAGCGTTAACAGCTAATAACTGGGAACCGTTTTTAATCTTACCTAGGACCATTGTCCTCATGCTCGCAAGGCAATGCACTGTGAAGGACTTGCTGTGGTCACAAAGGTGGGCAGCGAGGCCTGGGCCAGGTCTGGACTGGGGTGCAGTCCTTCTCGCCTAATGTCTGCTTTCCCTCATTGTCTTACAGCAGCTTCTGTTGCTTTAGAAGGGGACTTAAATGATTCCATTCTGGTCCTGCTACTTCTGGAAGTCTGTGTGGGCATGCTGCAGCTGGCTCCTATTAAAAAAAAGTATAGAGGCTTCAAATGGGAGGTAGCATCATACTCCACACTCAAATGTAGCAGCAACAGTCCCCGTGTCATCTAAAGGCATGTTGCCACCGGGGAAGTGAAGGGGAACATTAAACCATTGTGGGGATAATCAGTTAGCGGAGACAGTGTACCCAGACAACTTAGCCTCGAGCCACTCTTGCCTCAATAGAGTTGATAGCTTAATGCCTTCATTACCAGAGTCCTTATGGCGACTCCCCCATCACCTGGCTTTTATAGACAGAGTCTCTCTGGGGTAAGTTGTTAATTGCCATACATTTAATCCATCTCAAGAGCACAGCATTAGCTATATCTATCCTGAGCACGGGTCTCCATGTTCTTGTCATCTGTACAAAAGGCATCGGCACTCACAAACACTCACTAGGGCATCGGAATATCACCAGTCCCTGGGAAGCAAAACACAGCTTCCGAAAGAAAGAAAAGTGCTATGTATGTGGAAAGACATCACTTATAATTTTTAACTGTGAGTGAAATGAAAAATCATGAGTCTAGATTATGATTCTTCTGGGTTCTCATTTTTTCAAGTATAATACAAGTTATTACTCATGACAAATAAGTGGTTCTTGACAAAACTTTTAACATGTGTATTTGATGATCTTCCTTTCTAGACAGCGCTGTACATTAGAACTTGCTGGAAATGTTCTATAGTCCCTCTGGGTGGATGGGTGGACAGTAACCCAGTGGGGTTCTTGAGTGCTTTAAATGTGATGTGTGTGACTGAAGATAGAATTTTTAATTCCAATTCAAATTATCTTTAAATTAAAGTTAAGTAACCACACAGGGATATTGGCTACTGGCTTGCATAGCCCAGTTCTAAAGAGAGAAATAAGCATCAAAGCCTCACAAAAGTTGAGGTAGCATATGGGGTAGTAGGAGAGTGTGAGTCAGCACACTAAATCTAAAACACTGGCCAGCCAGTAGGTGGTTTCCCCTAGTAGCCCACTCACCATGGGAGGTTGCTCTATGAGGATGGTAATATAATGAGATCTGTCGTCTTCTCTACTTGCCTAGAAGAAAGAATTGGTTGTTCCTGGTCAAAGGCTAAATGAACAAGTCTGCACATTGTAAAATACAATACTCTATAATGTGACTCCATTAAAGGAAGGCAGATAAATTTCTCAGTGCAGGCAGCTGAGCTGCCTCCATCCAGTGGAGTTAATGTCTTTTGTTCCTCCTTTGTTTCCCCCTCTACCTTCTTCTATTCTCCCCTCTAGTTTGTGATTCAGTCCCACCCAGGGATGCTCTGGAATGGATTATTCACTTGTGGAAATGTTAATAATGTAGCATGGATGACTCGTACTAACCTGGGGTGTGAAGAAACGTTTTTTACTTTCTTTAAACCAAATAGCCATGCTGGTTGGAAGCTGAATCTCGGGTACTTTGGCAGCAGCCTAGGAGGCAGCTTCTTTGGTGGCATCTTAGCACTTCTTCTCTGAGGCTACTTTACCTCTGCAAAACTGTGTGGCTATCTTAAGACAGTGCTAAAGAAATGTTCAGAATATTCCTGTGAGAACTTTGTGATTAGTGCGGACAAATAGTATTTAATAACTGGAAGAATGGCTTCTTATCTTTGAGAGTTGGGCCACCTGTGAGAGCAGGCATTTTTGCCTTGTTAGCTATGTCTCAGCGTCAGAGAGATATGGGAATCTCTGTGGTCTGTCCTCATTGCCTTAAATAACCCAAGATAAAACCCAGACTTCTCAAACAATGGTGTGATTGTTTTTCTCTCTGCTTTTGTAAAAAGTCAGTTATCCAACAAATGGAAGTCCAATGCGACCAGATTCGGTTTTCTCCAGTTTGGTGCTATAACAAATGGTGACTGAGTCTCTATATCCCTTCCTAATCCCCAGCCTAGACCCCTTCAAGCTGGCTCAGCACTGAGTTTTGCTGGCTGATCTAGGGGTATGAGCTCAGATGGGCCACACTGATCCCAAGTGGTCAGGAAGGAGGCTTCTGTCTTTTCCCCTATGCTTTTGAATGCCCAGGAGGTCTGAGCAGATACGCTGCTTCTCCCAAGATCAGCAGCTCTTTCACGGAAACCACAGGAATAAATAGGCAGCCTGATGAGAGAGAGATCAGGAAAGAACAAAGGGAAGAGTAAGAAGAGGAGATTAGATGATCTTTTTAAAAATTTCTCTCATTTATGTTTTGTTGGTTGCAGATTGGATTATATTGGAAGCCTTACAGAGATTTAAGTGCTTAATGTGCCCCAAAGCTATATAAACAAAATTTTTCCTAGATGTGGGGTCTTCAAAAGACAAATGCAAGTGAGGATCTATTATGTTAAGGAGCCCAAAGGAGATGATTTTAATGAGTGAAATTTTTAATAAATGTTTGCATAGTACTCTTCAATCTACAAACTGTGCATTCCATGTATTATTATCAGTCCTGGTAGATGGTGGGATTATTCCTATCACCTTATAGGCTAAGCGGGCTAGGGGATCATGGGGTTTGAAACTAAACAGATCTAGCTTCACATTCCATCTGTATTTTAATCTGTGTGACCTTGAACAAGACATACTTAACCTTTCCCAGAGTCAGTTTCTTCCGAGGTTAGATGGTATCTATTCATCAACCTCGATTTCCACCAACATGTTCAACTACATTGCCAAGGGTGTCTAGGAGGGAAAGTGTGGAGGGAATGTGTGGGAAGCTGTTAGGGATCAGTAACAAAAATTTGGATCAGGTTCAGGCCTGGTAAGAAGATTAAAGAGGAAATCTAATCCTGTAGTCAGTGTCAAATACAGAAAGCAAATGGCTGAGAGGCAGACGCATCCAAGGTGACCACAAGGAGACATACTTTTGTGTAATCCTTTCTTTCTCCCATGCAAGTAGAAATTGTAACTTTCTTTTAACCCACTGAAATGGTGCAAAGGCTACTGACATCATTCCCTTGATTGGGTTACAAAATATGCAAAGGTGAGGTCACTCCCTTAATTTGGTTACTTAGACTAGAGAAAGACTCTCTCTTTATCCCTTTGGAGAAGGAAGTCACTGTGTTGCCAATCATGCAGCAGGAACTGCGGTGACCTCTAGGAATGAACTGAGTGAGAGGCCCCCAGCAAAAAGCCAGGGCTTGGTCCTGGAGCCACAAAAAGAGAAATTTGTCAACTTTGAGTGAACTTGAAAGCAGATTCTTCTCTAGTTGAGTCTCCAGATGAGAACCCCAGTTAATACCTTGATAGTAGCTTTTGAGACCCTGAGCAGAAGATCCAGCCAAGCTGTGCCCAACTCCCAACCTCTGGAAACTCTGGGTTGATAAATGGGTGTTGCATAAGGCACTGATTCGGTGGTAATTTTTTGTGGAATAACAGAACCCTAATCCACAGCTGCCTGCAGGGAGAGATGGAGATTCAGTTCCTCAAAGCCCCACGTGGAAGCAGCCCAGTAATCTGGCCCTGTACCCATGAAACATGCAACAAGGACAAGGTGTGGTTTCTGCAGGAGTGATTGGAGCCTCCACCCTTGGCTCTAGACAGATATGAATTTATCTAGAATCATGCTGCTTAAGAGACCAGAGCTGCTGGCACCCTACACCTAATGGTTACCTGAGGCTGACAGGGGTGGCCAGGTGCCCATTAGAAATGATAGGTCCAGGGCCTCCCTGCTGGCGCAGCGGTTGAGTGGGCTGCAAAAGCTGCCCGCTGCAAAGCTGCCCGCAGCCTCTGCAGCGCTGGTTCTGTTATAGGGCAGCCCCGATACAAAACAGGGTGTCTGACTGTGTGTCCTCACCCGCGCTTAAAAGGACTTATCAGTACTCTACTGCAGGCACACGCGAAAGGTTAATAAAAGGTTTATTTACAAGGTAAGGGCAAATGAGGAAATGTACAGCTCAGGGAGAAAAATGGGAGACAAAGTTTTAAATGTGTCCTACCCGATCTGCTGATCTGGAATCCCAAATGGCACTCTGGGAGCTGGCCGCGAGCCAGGAGCCGTGAAGACAGGAGGCCAGCGAGAGAGCCAGCCCCTCAAGGCCCACGTGTTTGGTTTTTATATGCAACCTGGCTGCCCAACTCCACCCTCAGGTCCCAGCCACCCTCCCTTTGGTGGTGACGGGATTTGTCTTTCCCAATGTCTTGATGGCTTTGGTCTGGAGTGGGGGTGGAGTCCACAAAGCCTGTATGGGATTAGCTCAGAACATCCTTTCCCCCTAACAGTTCGATCCCTGCCATGGGCGAGGGTCCCACATGGTGCACAGACCTCTCCTGCCGCCCACTGCTCCCCTCAGCAGTGTACTTTGTCAGTCTGCCTGTTCTGTTCCCCGCTCTGGCTCTGGTGAATTCTCTCACCCTCCCGCACTTCTGACTGTGCTCAGTGCTTGTATAAATAAATAAATCTTAAAAAAAAAAAAAGAAATGATAAGTCCAGGGGCCTCCCTGGTGGGCAAGGGGTTAAGCACCGCACTATGAAGCAATCCGCAGCCTCTGCAGCACGAGTTCG